CAAATCCACTGGGTGGAGTATCAGCCTGTTCGGCAGTTAAAGACTCTGTCCCCACGACAGAATTGGCATCCTGGCCCTTATCCTGTTGAGCAGGCCCAGCACTCTCCGTTGGAGAAGATGCAGCAGAAACAGCAGCAAGGGCAGTTCCCAAAGACTGTGCAAGTGCTGTTGGGGATTGTAGACGAGATCCAGTCCCGCCGCCTGAAGTTGAAGTTGGTGAGCTTGCAGCAGTATACGTCCATGCAGAGTCTGTTGGAGAAGACGAGCACCATCCCTGGCTTGCCGTTGGAGATGGATTGACGGGACTTTCTTCAATGACCTTGACCTCCTCGACTATTCTCTGCATGGAGAATTTGGCCTCCTCGATAATCTTCTGCAGTATATCCGCCACAAAACGATCATATCCCAGAAAAATCAACTTTCGATTTTCTCCATAAAGGAGATCAGATCTTCGGCTAACTGTCCTCATTGGTGGATTGAGGAGCTGTCGATCTGGCAAACCGCGAACGCTGGTGACAATCAGTGTACTTCGTAGGCGAAGGGTTGGGGTGGTAGGAGTATAAGCCTTGAAACTCCACTCGTACGAATGTACGAGCTCCATGGCTTCCAATGGCATAAACTTCATCATCGGAAGTGTAGTGGATCTTACTGGGCGGGGAGGGGTCTTTTCTGGTAATGGAATGTTTACTAAAAGATTATTAGTGTGCGGCTTCAGCACTAGGCAAAAATTTCAACTTACAGTCACCAGAATTCTCCTGCTGCGAAGGCTTCGGTTGAAATTCTGGGCGGAAAGAGACATAATCTAAAGCATCTTCATATCTGCTTCCCACTGCCCAAACGTCTGTTGCAATCGCCAAGATAAGGTACATGTCCCCAGATACCAGAGTAAATTCATCCGACCGTTTGGCACAATAATTGTATTTTACTCGTACAAGTTTTCCCCCAGAGATCTCCTGCTGAGGGCGTAGACGACCGTTAACATCCTTTACAGATGAGAGGAAGCATTTTGAGGGATGCTGGGATGATGGTGGATGGCGGTGAGATGTCCGAGGCTGATTGAAGTTACGCCCATTGTTGCCCGTCTCTCTCGGTCTAGTAGCGGTGGCCTCCTTTGATTTCGTGCTGACGGCGCCCATCATCTTTGGTTTTGCGGTTGGCTTTTCATCAGGTTTGTCAAACCCAGTGAAGGTGGATGGGGTTGTATCGAAGGACTGTAGCATCAGAGAGCCAATCGGGGTATCTCCAGATAACGTAGTAGGTGAGCTCTTGAACGCCTCCTTCTTTTCATGAAACACTGAATCAAACGAGCCATTTTCAAAATGCCTGTGCACGACTTCTGTGCTGGCACCACCTCTTGATTTTAAGAGGGGACTGCTCTCTTCAGCATCTTCAAATTTATCCTCTGAATCCGCTGTAGTGACCGGGGAGTTGTCGTTGCTCTCGTCCGTATTTCCATCCTCAGCACCGAGTAGTAATTCCTTGAGACCGAGTGAGTTTGGATATTTCTTGATTGGACGTGTGTTAACCCGCTGCCCGGAATGAACCCTTGTGACGATCTTGTCAAATTGGTCATCTGCTCTTTTCTCTTCATGCGGACTCGATGCAGAAAGAGCATTATCTAGAACTGAACTGGCAGAAACATTTCCCAACGAAAACAAATTCCCATGACAGTCACTGATAATGGCATCTCTTGGAGGGATTGGTTTGTCGACTTGATTTATTGATGTGGGATGTATCCCGAGGGCAAGCTGCATCCGAGGATCCGTAACTGCCTTGTAAAGTTCTGGGTGAACAGGGAGGCCCGGGGTTTTCGAGGCAACATTAGTCTGAGCATCAGCATTGGTATCCTCCAGAGATGCCAGTCCCGGGCTTTCGGGTGTCATGTTGACCACGCTACTACTACAGGTACTCTTTTCACCATCATCGAGATTCAAGCCAGACCCCAAATCAGCTTTTGCTAGTAGCTCGAATTCCAACAGTGCAGGATATTTTCGAGTGATTGGGGAAGGGATCGATGATGCTCTTGAGACGACAACAGTGTCATTTTTACTCTCCAGAATACTATGGCCACTAACTGATCGAGAACGTCGGCCTCGGGTTTCCATGGAGAAGCTGCTGCCAGTAAAGCTACTGGCCCTCGTTTGTGCAGCTATCAGAAGTGGCTCGGAGCCGTCTTGGACGTCGCGAGATGAATCCATCGAAATCCAAAAGGAAGAAAAAAAAATGGTACTCCCAAAAACGATGAAAGTTTGCTGAAAGAAGGTCTTTAGCAGAAATGTATTGAGGTCCAAAATCAAAAGATACCTAGTATCCTCGTTGGTTTATTCAGACAGGTGGCGAGATGGGACTATTGCAGCTCAGCTCAAATGTGCCAGATGTGTGATAAAGGGATATCGATCAATAGCAAAAGCAAGAGCCCAGGATGTGTGTTGCGAAGATCGAGCTAGAGGAAAATGTTGTAGGAGGGAGATGGAGAGATGTAGAGCAAGAGTTTTGGGGAGGCTGTAGGGAGGTCGTGGAGGAGAAGGGGTGAGAGGAGAGTAAGTAGGGTGCTTGAAGCTGGGGTATAATGTGGTGAATGGGGTGGTTAATTGAATGTCCAAATTAGGAAACCTCCTAATTAAGTAATACCAGTAGCTCACTACTGGAAATATCCTCGAGGGAGGTAACATTTAGTGGCAATATGAGATAAGTGGTTTTCTTCGAGTCTCGGCAAGGGAACAACGATTTTCCTTACACAATCGTGTTTCTGATCTGCTATAAAAAACTTCCTAATAAGATCCCTCTCAGGCTATATGGCTTACAAGATGTAAATAAATGTGCATGGTGCGTACCCAGGGAGAAGGTAGGATTAACCACCCAGAGCAGAAGAACCCAGAGCCTGTTATTTTCTTCGAGGATATCGATCCTTCTCCTATTCATTATCCTAGGCCTCGGCCTTCCATCCAAATAAAAAGAGCAAGTTGGTAAAAGTTTTTAAGTTTCCTCTCCCATCAATCACTCAAATACAACTCCTAATCTTAGCCCTGCTTTGACTTAATTTGTCATTTACTATTCCCTCCCCCCCGCCCTCCCGGCAGCGCGACCACCAGTACCACTGCACCTCTGTACATCCGTCCAAACTGGCCGCTCTTGAGTCTCCTCTCAGGATAATTTGGCCTCTTGGGCAATCGGCCACAGCGACACCCCGAATTTTTGTGCCCTCCTCCAGGGCAAAGGGTAACTTCCAATCTTCCTACCGCCCCCAGCCATTCCTTCCACATCTCATGGTTACATATTCCTCCCCTCTCCCCCAAGCAAATTCAAAAGCCTTCGGGGGTATGAAGCCCCCCGCACAAGGATGGCGTCAGGGACTCCTACTCTCATGGAATCAAAGAATCAAACCCACCTCCATCCATCGCTGTTCAATTGTAGTCACACAACGTATATTCAATACCGCTCCCCCCATTCGGTTCGGGGGGGATATGTGGTAAACAAATCCCGAGACTCGTGGGCTCGAGGTATATGGATGGACGGATGCTGCTCCCGCGCCAGAGGGATGATGTGTTCTCGTGGGGATGCCGTGGGTTCGGGTTGAACTCGGGAGAGGCAGTCACCCGCAGGCACATAGGTACCGGTTTGACCTCCGCAGCAGGGTCTGGGATGAAGACTACCGGATTAGGATCCAACTCCTTCCACATTGAGATAACCTCGTATAAGGTAGTCTCGTGCAGACTCGTAGAGGCCTCGCACTGGAATTATAAAGAAATAGTCTCACTTGGAAAAGTAATATCATTATTATATATAGTCTCTTGCGCATGCCGAAACGTGATGGCTTCACCGAGCGTACTTTCCTTCTGCTATTAAATATCGAATAAGGGAAAGGAGATCTTGGCACGAGATCAGGAAGGAGACAACGAACCTCGAGAATAGTAAAAAAAAAATTAAAATATTAAGTAGGGACTTGTAGAAAAAAAAGACGACTATATTTTTGGGAGTTGGGAGAAAAATTAGTAATAAAAACAAAAGATTTGGACAAGCGGGGAATTGAACCCCGGACCATCTCAAGACTCATTAATTGATTTTATGCGAATGAGATATCATACCCCTAGACCACTTGCCCAGTTCCATGAGGTGGACAACAGGGTGCACTCTACGATCGCGTCGCGGTAAACTACTCGAGTACCTAAGCAACAATCAGACCCATGTCGAAAAATAATTGAGGCTATAATTTTAGGAGACGAACTTGGCACGAGAAGAGGAGACGGATTGTTTTGGGATGAGTTTAACAATCCTATTGTTTAGCCTCGTGCCCCCAGGTGTTGTGCAACAGCATTACCTTGTGCTGGGTGGGACAGGGCTAGCCACCTTGTGTCGTGATTTGCCCCTCACAGACCATGGCCAAGATTTAAATTAACCGGCACACATATGCTCTAGATCTGCGCGGCTCATGGTTTTCCGCCTGTGGGAAGCATATGCCCCCCGCGAGCGGCTGTGGCTCCCGTGGGAGGCATACGTACTATGTAGGTATATGCAGTCTGCCAATTTTCCTTTGTGCTTTTTTCTTACTACAATTTCACCTAGGGGAACGAGACCAATTATTAGGCTCTTCAATGAAAATTCAATGTTGGTTTTTGTGTTCAAAATCAATTACAAAATCGAAGTACGAGGCTACAAATGCTAAAATAAACCTTGCAATTTCTGTACTTGGCAGGTTAAAATAGGGTGCAATTGTAGCCTGGTGTTCAATTGGTGAGGGGCATAACACGTATGCCTCGAGGGGCATATTAATATTCTTCCCACGAGCGGCCCAGCACATATATTGCCGTTGTCACGAGAACAGACCGTTGCCGACCATAAATTGTTCGAATTGAGGGTAAACCAAACCTCCATCTCCGTTGCATCGCACAACGTCCTGCCTTATGCAACGAGAACACATATAATCTCATGACGGAAGCTCAAGATCCAGTTAAAAAAGTCAAAACATCTGAATCAGATAACACCAAAAACACAAAAAGAATTGGACAAGCGGGGAATTGAACCCCGGACCATCTCAAGACTCATGTTTTGAATATTATGCGAATGAGATATCATACCCCTAGACCACTTGCCCAGTGGCGATGGCAAGAATTACAATTGCACATCCATAGTTCAAACCGACATCTAAACTTTTATTCCATCCAGGTGCTTCGCATCAATTTTTTTGAAGGTTGATCGTGAATTCTTCAGGAATATATGCCGGCTTGTAAGTTTGGGTTTTGACAAAGGTTTGATGAAAGTCGGTTGAAAATTGTTACTGAACTCATGTAATTCGGTATGCTAATGAAAGTCGCAATTCGGAACCAAACTTATATCCTGGTACGCTTCCCGACATGGGGTTCGCCGCGACGGCATCATTTCCCGTGTGAGCCGATGAACTGAAGGGGGTAAGTTCTTACCTAAAGCGGCATATGCGACCTCGGCATCGATGTACCCCGAAGCCTTGTCGGCACAGGTGAATGAGACTACAGGTGATGGCCTGAACTACTTATAATTACTACTTAGGTAATTACTCAAGCAAATAGCTACTTACTTAACCTTATCTGATGTTGAAGTGGCAATCGTCAGGCTCGAGATACTCTACTAAATCTTTAGTGTTTAGTGCTTGCCTTCCTCTAGCTAGAGTATATGATGACCGTTTTCCTTCAATACTTAGCTTAGGCAGCTGTGAGATAGTAGCCTGGTAAAATGTTCGGCTGTTTGGTGATTGACTAGTACTAGCCCGAGACTAATCGAAATCGAATGTAGTCTCATCGAATTCTGTCTACGAGGGGCTGGGCACGAGACTAAATTCTGTAGTCTCATGAGATTAAGTCGATCGAATGGATACATGCGCATCTGCGTGAACTTCCTTCGAAATCCGGGATCAAATTGACTGCGAGGGGCACAAGAACATGCGAGCCGACACGAGACTACACAAGCACAAGTAGGTACTTCTTATCATAAGGTATTCTCGTTATTGTACTTTTAACTCAGTCTCGACTTACGAAGGCCAGTCTCATGCCCACAAAGGGCCATCGTGGAGATACTACCCAGTCTCGTGATACTACCGGATGTAGAAGTAGGACTTCCGGAGTTGGGATAATGCCAAGAAATTCGGCCAGAGTATCCACCATTCAGCAGTGCGAGCGACAGCGATGCTCATCTCGCTCCATCCCATCTGGTCCCATGTCTTTCGCATGGGAACAATGCCTCTCTCTCCGTCTGCTGCCTCGTCACCATCGCCACTTCGGCCTCATGATTCGTCAGCTCGAAGGGTCAACAAGGGCCGAAAACCACCATGGATGATTGGGCTTAGGCCAGTCAGTGCTTCGGACTCAGGATCTCCGAGGGATGCCTGGCAGTATCGGTGCCCATCTTGCTCCCACTCGAGTATCATGTTTGCGGTCGATATGCTCTGCTCCATTGCAAATGGCTAACTTCAACTCAATTTTTTAGCGAGCATGTGCCTGCCAGCGTCACGCATCCTAGGTATACCGATAGGTTGGAAGCGAGACCACTCTATTTCGACACATCTGTAGGGTAACCGCCACTACCGCCCCCAAACACCACAAACAAGAACGACTGGCTTTCCGAGTTTATGACCCAGCTGGAGACATGTGCACCCAGCCCCCAAGAGAAGCACTGTACTCTACAATCAATATCGGCCCTCGATCATAGGATTTGCAACCGCAGAAAGCAAGGGATACCTAGCCCTCCCGTGTGAGAACCTGGGTAGCGGTCCGTCGATGCTGCATGTTGCGACGAGGTCCCTATGGGCCGAAAGCTAACTGACTAGTCTGCAGGAATTCGAGTATGTCTACATTAGACTTCCGAGCATCTCCACTCTGAAAGGCAAACCCTCTCAGAGGCAGCAGGTTAGAACACCACTGCTTCGAGGATTCAGGATCGTTGACATATGGCCTCCAAATCGAAAATTGCGTGGCTGAATGGACTCTTGGACTTTCGAATTCATTTTCCTCGCCTCGTCTTGTCTCATAGTTTACTCTTCACATTGCATGCAATCGCTGCACTTGGCAGATTTTCTATCACAGTAGTGCCAATTGGCGCCGGACATGCTCCAGAATAAAACATCGGTAAAGCTCCATTCCTTCGAAACCCTCAAACTGTATTGAAACCTGCTCTTCAGGAGCTCTGCAGAACCAAGACAGGAAAAGAAGGATGTGATCTCAGCACGACAATTCGATTTCAGCGATTTCAGCAAAAATGAGACATTGTGCACAAAAGCAAAAGAAAGTACGGAGTATCCTTTCAGAAATCCCTGAACTGCTCCCTGAGACCATGACTTACTGAGGCATGCAGAGTACGTACTAGTTCTTTGCTTTTTAGAGAAAAGGCCACTACTCAAACGCACTCTCAACTTTTCGGCCAGACAATCTCGGCAGTTCCTTGATTATCCAACAAGCGCTTCTGAAGGAATATGATATTCGAGTGCACGAAGGCAATCTAGCTTGATATGGCCAACCCCGGATTCCAGTGGCATTGGCACCCCAATTCCCAGACCTTCGAAGTCCGGCAAGGCTTCTAAAGTGTATTGCACAACTGATGGGATAGACATTTGCGGGTGCCGCATCAGTGAACATTGCAAGATGTGGGATTGCCAAATAGTGTTCTCGTGCCTAGCCGAGAAGTAATGTGTATTGATTTTATCTCTAGGCACTATGATGTGCTTGAATTTAATTGACCAAAAATTGTGGTATGTTCATAATCAGCAGTGATAAGCTCACATCTCAAAGATATAAATGTATTCACTGACAGAATAAGAATTCTCAGAGGTATTGCCGGTTAGGAGAGCAAGGCATCGCCAGCACATCGGGTTTGTTGTCATCTATTCCAGCTCTCAGGTCAGGCGGGAAAGAGTACCAGGTCGATAAGAACCAGAGCTGTACAATGCCAATTCAATGAGCTACCAAGGAAGTAACTTCCAAGGTACAGATTCCGGTCCTTGCCCTATTACGACCTAACATAAACTAATTATTCCCATCAAATAGTTACTGTCGATATCGCCAATACGAACGAAGGTATTGATCAAATGGAGCCCATCTTTTCATATGTAATATATCGAATCGTTATCGCAATAGGTTTAGAGCCCTTGACGTGCGCTAACGATTCCAATAAAAATCCCATTTTTGCTGAGCGATTGAGAGAAAATTACCGAATGCAAAATTTGCTAAGGCAGACGATAACCTTGCTTTGCAAAATAATGACAAATAGGTGCCATCGGCCAGGAATGATGAGAACCTATTTGACGTCTCTGAAAATAGTATTTTTCTGGACTGCCGAACTTCACCCCTCAAAATCGTCCCACATAACCCCGGTGAGAATTTATATGCATTCCTCCACTGTTGCTAATTTACTAAATTTTGAGAATGTACTATAGAACAATATGTGGTGATTAAAGGGAGACGATATGAAGCTACCCTCCTCAACCAAGTACCGGCAACATGAGATGAACTGTTTTTACTGGTCATGCAGTAAACAATGGTAAATCTTCTTGTGCTCGGATGTAAGCACCGATCTTGATTGAATTTGGAACTGCTTTTACATACAGCATCCTGTGATGAGTGTAGCTTTGGATTTCTTAAAAGTAAAAGTTTTTCTGAAGATTTTGTTAACAAGCAAAAAGTTCCCCGATCACAAAAAAAGAAACTCTTGCTCTGGAGCACCTGATCCCAAGAAACTCGCTAAACTATTTCCCCTGATGCAGATGTTATGACGACGGCCACGCACGGTGAGACATAATTACAATAACTTTGGAATAGGTATTCTTACCCGTTCAAAAAAATGTACCGACGTTAGGGCCGCTTTTAAAGGAGGGATACTTAATGAATTGTTTCTCTAGTGCATGCTATTGAGCCCAAGGACCTCTTACATGGATGTCAGATACCAATGCGGAACAATCAGGCCATAAACAATTTTCCTTCCCTCAAACCAATCCTTGGTAGTTCTTGGAGCATGTAGGGTGGGAAACAGAAGAATCGAATGCTCGAAATCCCAGCCCTTTTTCGGCTTTCAAGAACCCGGGCGAAACAAAATTTCTAAAATATATCATCCAGACACGACTCCATTAGACAAAGAACCCATAGCAGCTTCACTCAATTCTGGCCATCCATTAGCCTTTTCCCAATGCCGGGGCTTCGGGAATACCTTGCACACCTTTGTTCATCATCTGAGGAGGTGTAGATCGTAAATGTGCTAACAAACCTAGTATGATCGGTGAACAAAACTCGACCAGGCGGAAACTGGCCAAGTATGGGGGAATTCGCAATTTCTGGAAATATTCATTGATCAGACGAACAATAGAAGAGTATAATTCGAAAAGTAACATGGGCAGTGAGTCTATCTAGTGAATTGAATCAACTCTTGGTAAGCTGGGTTTGCATCTTTGCTCGAAGGCGAGCGTTAGGTGCTTTCGCCTTTCAACACATCGCAGTTCAGGAGCTTGGAGCCTTTTAACTATAGCAGACAAGTTTGTTATTGGACAAATTGGGAAGTATGCTCTGTACTCTGTGGGAAGGAATGTTTCATCAGCATACTTTGTAGCAAGTCAGTATATTCCCTTATACGAGCTCAAAAGGTGTGATCAGAAGACAACCCTCGGATCTCTGCTAATAAATTTTTTCATGATATAGTTTCTTATAAAATTACGGAATCATATTTACCTACAGAACGTGAGGGATTTGAGGAATGTACTCGAGTAAGATCAAGATGCTAGAACGAAATGAGAGGTATATCCAGAGATGAGAGGTAGCTAGCCTCGGACGTGCTCTACGTTAATGTCAAAACTTTCAGTGTGTCTTCCGCTAATCTAGACTACTCTTCCCCTGGAATTTACTTAGACATCCAATTGGATATGGAAAGATATCCATTCCAAGACGTTCCCGATAACTACATAATCTCAACATGCGATAATTTGGCCCCCATAATTATGGCACCAGAGTTACATTGTCCTGGACTCCTAATTGGGTACCGAACACATGCTTGCCACGGGAGTCTACCCTAATACAACTGTGCCAGGATAACCTGGCATATTGGCCGAAGTGGCCGAGCCGAGGAGAGCAGGCGGCAGCTAGG